CCATAAGGCTGGCTCTTAAAAAGACCAGCCCTTTTCAAATGATTCCAAGCCAGCCCACTGCTTTCTACCAGAAGAAATCATATCTGAGGATGGGGCAAGGGCAGATGTGAAAGGTGGCTGGGGTCTTATACCAGCCTCGAGGCAAATGAATGCAATGAGCCCCTGCTCTATGGGGCCTGGATGTTTCTTCCCTGTGATAGTTTTCTGGTGCAGCATCTGCTGGGCTGTGGCTTGCAGCAAACTGCTTAAGCTGGGCAAAATAACAAATGATGGTGCTCCCAGCAGCACCCTGGAACAGCCACCCCCCCCCAAGGCTGCTCACCCTCAACTGCAAGTCATGAGACTCCATCCGAAATGCAGTAACATAAACAACGGGTTTGCCAGCCTCTTCAGGACTTTCAAGATCTGATCAAAACCCCACCAGCCCCAAATATTTATACTTTATCACTATGGTGATGAAGAAAAATACATCCTATGCTTCAGGAAGTGGCTATGTTTTCCAGGCTGGGATGGGGAGGCAGGGGAAGGATGGAGGCCATCACTTTTTTAACTCTGGAAAAAAATGCCCTGGGAAAGTCAGTGCTGGAGCGGCAGGAGCTGGTGCTTGGGGGGGCATTCCCCCCGGGTGAGTGGCTTGGGTGGCCCCAAAGAGCCCACAAGCAGCAGAAGGGTCCTATCGAAAGGACGCAGGATGCCCTGGCAGAGGCCACTGCCTAGAGATGGTGGGCAAGGAGGGCGAGGCAGGAGCAGGGCTGAGTGCGGGATGGGGGGCTTGACCAGCCCTTCTGCTGCAGGGCCCTCCCACCACCTCTGCCCAGCTGTGCTGCTTGCGCTGTCTTCGCGTTGCCATGAGCTGGTGTCAAGACAAGCAGGTTGAGCATGTCCAAGCTCCGCATTTACAGCAGGATTCACAGAAATGCAAAACCAGGCTTCCCTGCAGAAACACCCAGATCTTTCATTTCTACTTAATCGTTTGGCAGCTATTTCCAGATGCCCTCCCATGTTTCACAGTTACAAGCCAAGGCTGAGGTGCTGCTGGAGGCTGGCTTGCTGCACGCCATGGAAACGTGAGATGCCATTAGCTGCCGCAGGGAGGTGTGGGGCAGGGGGAAGGTGTCTGGCTATGTACGTGCTGAAAAGCAGGGTGGAGGCTGGATTCAGGAGAGGTGAAACAGCTCTATTGGAAATCCCTCCCCAGCTTGGTATTGGAAGTCTAATGTAGCGGCTGATTGAACAGGTGCCAGCGAGCAACAGGGTGGCCATAAAATGTGGCCCCTCAAGTGTTCTGGAACTCTCGGGAAGTTGTGTTTGTGTAGCAGGGTGGTTTGGCTAATTACTTGGGCAGGCTCGCCCCAGACAGGCAAAAACCCCACAGCCAAGCTTTCCACAGGCCCAGAGGTATTTACTGTCGGGCTGATACCAACCATTATACTCCTGGTAGGAAATACTACGTGTACTTTATCACTCCTGCTCTCATGAAGTTTAGCATATGTATGAGCACTCTTCACATGACACCATACATCTGTAACCCTATAGACACATACAAGTATACACCGTTATCTACATACTCATCACGTGGGCATCCAGATCCCCAGTGAGTCAGAGAGCCAACAAGCAGCAGTTCTGGAGATGGTGCTTGGAGTCTGTCACAGAGACGAGCATGTGTGGGTTTAGTGCGGTCCCGGGTCCTGTTGAGGGAAACCTTGGCCATCCACCAGGGCAAACATGAAGGTGCATTTTCCAGAACATCCTCCAAAAATCACCCAGTGTCCACAGCCAGTGGGTATCGGCAGCCCCGGTGCCTCCTGGCACCCGAGTGGGCACGGGAGGCAGGTCTCCTGCTCTCCGAGGGACCCCGAGCCCTGCCATGGGGCAAGGCAACCCCATGCTGCAGCCAGGGTCCCCGGGCACCAGGTGCTGCCCTCGTGCCTCCTCGGCACCCATTCCCCACCACAGGACGTGTGGAGGAGAGCTCTCTGCAGCTGTATGCCTCGGCTTAACGCTGGGGGATCTCTTGCTGCACGTTTTCTGGTTACTTCAGTGACCCGGACCCTCGCACCTCACTGGCCATGGTGGGACCACCCAGCTCTCCCCCTGCACGCCAAGGTAGGGCTGTGCTGGTGCTGCCTGGTCCCAGCACTGGGGATCACTGAAGCCTGTGAGGGGCAGAGAGTGTCCCAGGGCTGCCCCAGGCTCCCTCCAGTCCTTGGTCACTGCCTGGAGGGTGGCAAGGTCAAGAGCAGGGATCAGCTCCTCACACCGAGAAGCAGCAGGTTTTCAGTCGGATATTCTCCGTGGGATTTCCACTAGAGATCTTCATGCAGGGAAGACGTGGAGTGCTGGCGTGTGCTGAGGAACTGGTCGTGTTAACTCATATTGTTGTACCACTCAGTAATCCACATATAAACATATATTTCTGCTACTGTCTCAATGGACTATTCATTTTGTCTCCTTGTGCTGAAGGTGCGGCATTTCCTTACCCCTACGGGGCACTCTCAAAACCCAAGAGCCCTGGCAAGACCCAAGGCCTCTGACAGCTTCTGCTGAGACAGACGTGGCAGCTTCTCAGGAAACTGAAAAGGGAATAAAAATATCACCCCAGGAGGCTGGTCCAGAGGAAATGCCCCAGCGCCAGCACAGCACAGGCACCCCCAGATCCTGCTGCCTGGGTGCTGCCTCAGGCTTCAGCTTGCAGAGTCGGCTTACGCCCCAGCAGCAGCCGCGGTGCCTGGGGCAGGGGCTGAGCAAGAGCCAGCCCTGCTCACCCCTGGCTCTGCACTCGAAGGGTTTGGGCTCAGGGACAGGTTGAGCTCTGAGCTAAAACTTGTTCCCCTCTGGCGCTCTGGGTGGGCAAGCGTTCGCAGCAAGGAGGTGCTCCCCTGAAGCTGGGGACCTCGTGCTCACCCCAGCCCTTTAGCAAGGACGGGTGGTCCTGGTGCTGAGCTCACTGTCAGGCACAGCGTGGACCCCAAAAAGCCCCAAAACCCCCGGGCTCACGGTGCTGAGGGTATCAGAAGGATATAAATGGCAGCTCCATCTTTCCATAATTCAAACAACCTCTGAGTGAAGCCGTTTGTAAAATGACTTTTTAGAGTAATCTTGGCCAACAAATTGCATCTCCATGCATTTTCTTCAGTTCACACAATGGCATTTTAGACGGGACTAATGCAAACATTTTTATTTAGAATGTATTCATCAGTATTTAAATATCAATACAGTTTTTGCAATAGTTACCAAGAGATCCCAGTACCAAGGGAAAATAAAACATAGCCACATGCTTGGCTATGCTCAGAGCTTTAGCAAGCCTCTCCATCATTTAGCTGAACATGCAAGCTGATACGTGTCAGTACAATCGAATAAATACAAAATAAAGCAAATGTCAAAATAGATGTTTCTCTGTGGGCCTGGATGTGCCTACTGGAGAACTACGGCCTCCTCCTGCCACGTCAAAACCCCAGTGTGAGAACTGTTGTCTGGACTGGGACACAGAGCGGGGAATACACGGCTGTCAGAGCAGCGATATCCAACTGGGGAGAGACGAAGGGTTGGGGGACAGTGTCACCGAGTGCCACTCGACTGCTGAGAGCAGGAGGTCTCAGCTGTTGGCCGGTGACACGCGGTACTGCAGCCCGAGATGGCAAGCCCTGCGTCTCTTCCTTGTGCCTCCAACTGCAGGTCATCGTCAGCCCCAAAGCCCCCAGTAAAGGCCACGTCTGACCCACAGCAACTAAA